TTAAATCTTCCATACACTCAACAAAAATGGTCATGAGAGTAATAATACTTACCCCATAGAATTATTTAATCTATGTGAAGTGTCTAGATCTGTTAACAATATAATTTAACTCTTTTAAACGAATAGTTTAATCTCCCATTCTTGATGTTATTTCTCTGGGATTCCCAAGACAGAAAGCTGGGGATCATCTTCTATTTATTTTTCTCTCTTAAATCACTCCTAACGCACATTCAGTTGTTTAGCTAGGGTCTTGCCAATGGTAATCTCCCCGATCCATCTTATAGTTAGCCTGTCATTTCTGCTTCCATTTTTTCTTGATGGTTTTTAAAAAAATAATCTCTTACTTTATCTCTTACTCAATAAGTGTATATTGTAAGTACTTTAACTACTTATGGGTGCAAGGGTGGTATTTGTTTATTTTTTTATGTTTATAACCTAATGCATCTCAGTGCCTTACACACCATAGATACTAAATACACATGAGCGCGCGTGCAGCACACACACACACACACACACACACACACACACACTTTTTTAAATTGCGGTTTCAAAATTTTATTTGACAATCAGTGATTAATTTCCATCCATATTAACAGTTTGTAGGTGTTTTAAAGCGGTGACAGCTACGTAGGTAACCAATGTATGGGACTTGTTTGGTGAATCTTCATCCTCATTATGTTTTCCGGACAACCACACCTGGATGGGACATTCCTTATTCCTTTGGCCCAGACAGCTTTGTTGGGCCTGTTGTCAATGCACACATCTGGAGTTCCCATCTCCTTCAGGGCAAATTTCCAGATCTCTTTGAGTGCCCAAGGGGCACGCTCCTTGAAACCCACTCCATGGATGTGCTTGTGAATGTTGATGGTGTATTCTCTGCTCACTACCTCGTTGATGGCAGAATGGCCCTTCTTTTAGCTGCCCTTGTTTGTGGGAGCCTTTCTACCAAGCCCAGGTTGGAAAGGAACACACAAGCACACACACACACACACATGTGCACACACATGTGCGCACACACACACTTTTCCACACACACACACACACATGTGCACACACACGTGCGCACACACACACTTTAAAAAAAATTAACAAAATAGTTGAATTACACTCACTGTCACTGAAATTACTCTTCAAAATGTAAAATGGATCATGTTATTCTCTGCTTACAATCTTTTGGTGATTTTCCTTTTGTATTAATTGGGATTCTCAGAGAAATAGTGACACAAAATTAACATTGACATCATTGCTCAGGAAGTAATATCAAACTCTTGGCATTGAATTTAAGACCTTTCATGGTTTGGTCTGACTAGCTCTTCAACTGCATTGCCCACCATTCTAAACCACTCACAGTGCCACTCATGAGTCGTGTAACATTACCCTCCTGAGCTGTGACACCTGCTGCTTCCTCCACACCGAACTTCCTGTCACCTTGCTACATGCCTTTACTCTTCAAAACTTTTAAAAAGCATTTTTCCTTTTCTGAAGGCTTTCATTGTGTTTCTCATTCCGTCTCCCTAGAAGATTTGGGCCCTGCGAGCTTATGCCTCTTCTGTTCCATGTGCATATGGAACTGATAGCATGAGTGTAATGATTGTTTCGTGGTTTCTTCTAGGACTTTCCTGCAAGCAAAGTCTAGGACTTTCCTGTTTTAGTCATCTTTTTTGTTGTTAATCCTCTCCCGAGGATATTTTTTCCATTGCTTTTTTGAGAGAGTGGAAGGGACGGAGAGAGACGGAGAGAGAAACATTGATGTAAGAGAGACACATCGGTTGATTGCCTCCCACATGTGCCCCAACCAGGGCCAGGAATTGAGCTTGGGAGTGAGCCCGCAACTGACGTATGTGCCCTTGACCGGAGTTGAACCCAAGATACTTTAGTCCATGGGCTGACGCTCTAGCACCTGAGCTGAGCCGGCCAGGGCTGTTTGGGTCACCTTTTTATTTGCATCTCTATTAGAAAGACACGTTCTTAGCAGGTGCCTAGTTAATGTTGTTGAATTTCTTCATGGGGAAATGAATTAGTGTATTGATGATTTTTAAAAAATAGAACCCCCCCATTTTTCTTATTCTTATTATTCTGTTTTTCTCTTTTTAGAATCCAGATCACATTTTGAATTATTGATGTTACAAGGTACTGTCTATCTCAAATTTCAGAGAGTTTGAAATTCTCAGCAATAGCATTTCCAGAAGCTTCTATTATATCACAGACATCACCTCTGAGGGTTAACGTACTAGTATAGGCTGGTCTAGGGAAGAGAATGAAATCTCAAGGGAGTAAGAAAGAGCCTTAAGAAAGAAACAGGTCATGAATAATAAAATTGTCATTTTCAAAAGCTTTTTTGACCCATGTTCTAGCAGCGTGACTTTTAAGTTTTCAATGCACATATAAATAAAAACATGAATTTATGAAAGAACCACAGACTCAACTACCCATGATAATGATAAATAACCTCTGAGGAGCAGGAGGGTACAGATAAATTTTCTCAGTCTGGTAACATGGAAATCATTTACATATGCTATTCAATTATTTACTGAAAGATATATACTGAGAATTGAAACCATCAATTCAAATATATTTAAAATGTAACATAAATGGACCTGGTAAGATGAATAAATTGCTTAATCATTTCATGCTTCCTTCTTATAATTTTTGTGCTTTTTCAATTCTTATACTTTTTTATTTTTGGAATTTTAGCTAATGTATAATTGGTGCTGGCTTTCCATTTTCTCTAAAAAATGTGTAACTATAAAAATAATGTTTAAAGCCCCATTCTACTTAGATATTAAAAGCTTATGCTAGTTATTCAGAGTTTATACTTAGGTGAATGCTGAAAATATTTCTGTAGCTATTATAGCTCTCTAAAATGAAGATTCCCTCCATCCCTGGCATTATAGAATAGGCTGGAAAGGCATGATAACAATTTTTTTTCATTTATTTGCTTTTTGTGATAATTGAAACCAGGAACTGGGACATAATTCCTGCATTATATTCTGTGCTGCTGTGGCTCCTATTCAGACATTTCTCAGATATTCACACTGCAGATGAATTAATATTAAAAGGAAGAGGTGACCCCATTTCTTTTGCCAAGTTTCAGCTTCAGGAGGCATTAGAAAATCAAAGAGAATTTTCCTCCCCTGAGCTGTCTACTCCTAAGGTGATCCTTGGTAAATCAAGCTAAGCCCGTGTGCTTTCTTAGAGGGCGCTTTGTTGTTATGGGGAAAGCAGTCCCATTCCTCATACTCTGGAGGCTGGCACTGGCTTGAAAAGGGCAGCGTGTGTATTCTTTAACACAGAACTTCATGGCGCTTGGAGTCAGATGACCAGGTTCAAATTCAGGGCAAGTTATCTAACCATTCTAGAATTTCATTTCTTTAGCTTGAAAATCCAAATGTTTAATATTACCAATTCCTTGCATTGTTGTGAGCTTTGATAATCCATGTACCCTTGCACTAAGTATACAACAAATATTATCTATTTTTTAAAATATATTTTGATTGATTTTAGAGAGGAAGGGAAAGAACAGAGAAATAGAAACATCATTGTTGAGACAGAATCATTGATCAGCTTCCTCCTGCATGTCCGCACTGGGGATCAAGCCTACAACCCAGGCATGTGCCTTGACAGGGAATTGAATCGTGACCTCCTTTAGCCACACCAGCTGGGCGAGTCCTAGATTTTTAATGATTTTAATTTGTTTGAAGCTATCTTCTTTTAAAATTTAAATTTTATTTTTACAAATTGATCCCGTTTGGTTTTCTGTTTTGTTGTTTGTTTTTTTTTATTAACAAACATTTTTGGAGAAACGTCAGAGCCTGATTTTAACATTTGGCAATCTTGGCAGTTTTATGAGTTATGTTTTTTATTACAAAGATACAAATTTTGCTAGTTGGTCTGATATATATATCTTTTAGTTTATGTGTATAATGTCACTTTCCCATCCTCCCCCTCCCCCCGCCCCCCCGATCTCCACCAACTCCTCACATTTAACATTTTTGGCTAGGATATATAAGAAGTTAGAGGCTGGGGGTGGTTTTTCTTCAATATTTCTCTCTATTTCTAAAATTTGTCTTTTCTCTCAGTTATATTTTGCTCCAGGTTCACACGCATGCAGGGAACTGATGACGAGGCAGTGCCATTCGATGCCGTGCTTCAGGCTGGTGTGTTTATCAGCGGAGAGTCTGGCCGCCAGACCTAGATAAACACATGCTTATCAACAACCAACACCATATGGCAGGAAACAGCCTCTGACTTGGGCAGTGGCATCCAGGATCGGCCCTCCTGGTGTCTGCACGGGGCCCAGCTGCCAGAGTACAAATTAATTGCTTCTCTTCTTTTTGCTCCTCTGGAAGGTACTAGTATATATCCCAAAGCCTTTGTTCTGGCCATTATACTATTTTTACCAACCATTCTATGCCAGTGCTATCCCTTCTATGACAAGCAACTCCTAGTTGTTTAATCCATTAATCAACTAATTACCATAAATAATTTATTAAGGTACCAAATTAAATCAACTTGGATTTGCAGAGGGATAGCTCAAGAGAATTATTTACTTTCCAAAGTATACAAATGTAATACTTAACAAGTTTTTAGATATTTCTGATGTATTAAAAAATAATGCTCATTTAGACAACAACACACCAAATGATGATAATGAAGTTAACTTATAAAAGCAGTGGATCTTTGGTTCAGAGATATGTTTAGAGAGGCAACAAGAATTTGAAGTACTATTAAAATATGAGTCAAAGTCAATTGCTTGCTTCTTTTTCTTGGTCAGTCGAATTGTCAACGAACATTCTTGAGCTATTTTCTCATGAGAACTGTCCCTCCTTTGAAGGCCATGTGCTTTCAAATATTTTTCCTCCAGGTGTTTTGCCATCTTCCTGCAGGAGTCAAGGTTTTGATGTGTAAGGCTGATGTTTTCATACACTTTGGGAAGGTTGTTCTCTATTTCTTTTCTTTTTGTTTTAATATATTTTATTGATTTTTTACAGAGAGGAAGGGAGAGGGATAGAGAGTTAGAAACACTGATGAGAGAGAAACATCGACCAGCCGCCTCCTGCACACCGCCTACTGGGGATGTGCCCGCAACCAAGGTACGTGCCCTTGACCAAACCGAACCTGGGACCTTTCAGTCCGAAGGCACACACTTAATCCACTGAGCCAAACTGGTTTGGCAGGTTGTCCTCTATTTCTAAGTGGTAAATTCCCTTCTCCCTTGAAGTTGCATTTCATATTTCTGGATGTGGATCAGAATGTCTGTGGAGTCTTACCTGAAGACTTTGAACTTCACTGTGAAATTTTAAATCTTCACATTACTCTGGTTGGAGGTTTTAAAATTCAGGCTATAAATAATTTGTGCAAGTAGTTTTCTTCATGCAATTAAAAATATCCCTTGTTTTTCTCCTTTTGAGTTTAAGGTAACATTTAAGTTAATATAATCGATGAGTTTCCTCAAATCAACATCTGACCGGTAATATTGGTCTCCATTTTCTGCTTCACTCTTGTTTCTATTTCCTGTTGCGACAGTCATGTAATGTTTTATAAAGAGAGCAGGTAAGTTTATCAGCTTCAGTCCGGATGCAGTCATGGATTTTAATGGACTCTCTATCCTGTTTTCTCGTGTGTTGAAATGTTCAAGCATTTCTTTCTGTTCTTTCAGCTCTGCCACTCCTTTTTAATATGTCTTTATTGATTTTTTTAGAGGGAAAGGGAGAGGGAGAGTAAGATAGAAATATAGATGAGAGAGAAACATTGGTTGACTTCATCCTGCACACCTTCTATTGGGGATTGAGCCTGAAACCTGGGCATGTGCCCTGACCAGGAATCAAATTGGCAACCTCTTGATGCATGGGACAACGCTCAACCAACTGAGTCACACCAGCTGAGCCACACCAGCTGCCACTCTTTCATACCATTTAGCAATTTACTGTGTTAAACAGGTTTAGGCTTTCCTGAAGCTGAACATTTTCTTCAAAACCTTTAACTATTTCTCTCTGATGCTGTTCTATATTCTTCTAAGATCCTTTCAGGTTATTTTTACCTTCCATCACTTGGGACTAGAGAGGATTTTATGTCTCTTTGATGACTATTTTTGTCCTTTAAGATGAGGCACCTTAACTCCGTGAAGTAAAATTTTAGGAGACTTACTTTTCTGTTATTAGTTGAGAGATAACCTACTGTATCCGCCATGGGAGAGGTGGACCTGCTCACATCTCAATCTAAGTGCTGCCAAGCACAGTTTGTAACTTCAGAAGACTCACCGCCGCTGCAGGTGACTTGAGGGCAACAAAGGCTTCTGTAATGAGTCTCATTGTCTCACTGGTTTTATGATACTTTTCAACTCTAGTAGAAAATCTTTGCTGGCTTATTTTCCCTCAAAGGGAGGAGACAGAGGGAAGCTAGGTAGTCAGGAATTGGGACCATGGGGGGGAAGGAAATAAAACCGGGGCACCCAGCAAGCGGGAGTTACTAAGGCACCCCAACTGGGCAGGGAAAAGAGGGCATGGGTGAGAGACTTGACATGACCTTTAAAACATACCAACTTGGCTAAGACAGACAATGTGCAGATAACCAATCACAAGGCAGTAAGGCATATAAACCAATCCCAAGGATGTTGCTAAGGCAAAATTCTTTGAAAAGACCAATTAGGAGCTCGCAAGGCTGTCTCAACACCCTAAATTAAAAGGTGCACTCTTCTCCCCCACCCGCAGTGGCAGGGGAGCACATCCCAGCGCCAGTGTGGCTTATGGCCATATGGGACTCTATACATGGACTAATACACTTTAATTCGCATGGATGCTCTCAATAAACTTTGGTTCCAATAACCATTTTTGTCTGCAACCTCATTCTTCGATTTTGCACGATTATGAACTCTGACTCAACACCCCGCATTTTGGTTTCAAAAGTACACCAGAATTTTTACTATCCAAACAATCGAAGCAGTACACATCAGAATTTCCAAGGGAAATTGCAATAGATTTGAGCCTTGTGTCCATAATTCAGATCACAACATCATTGCATAGCTGCCACAGGATTAACTGAAAAACTTTTTTTGTGTGGCCATGAGGCAGCCTTCCCTGGCTCCAGTGGGCACTGCAGCTCTGCTTCTGGCCAGTGGCTACAACAGCCTTCTCAACTGCCAACGTCTGACAACCAGGATAGACTACTAGTGGGCTACGAGAGGGCTCCATGTTAAAAAAGGATTGCTTTTTAAATTTGCTCTGACACTGCACACGTAGGAAGAATTCTTATTTGTACAGAGCACTGGGGGAAAGGCCTGGCTGGCTAGTTACCTACTCTCTCCGGGAGCAGGGTTTCTGTGCCCTTCTCAGAAACGCTCCCTTTTCTCTCATATGCGGGCCCTCAGGAAATGACATAATAAAAGGTGTAAGCATTTGACATTCAATTCTCTAATGGATCCTGTCTCTTTCCTTTGTCTGATTAATTTCTCTGCTATTCAATTGGAAAAATTCTCACAGAGGGATTAGAGTTCTTTTCTGTCTCTCTGCGTGTGTGTGTGTGTGTGTGTGACTTACCTTTAAAGTAATGGATATTTGAGGTAGTTCATCTCTATTTTTCTTTAATTTTTATCTCATTAACAACAGCAGAGTAAGGTTACTTTTCATATTCTCACCAAGGAAGGGATGCACTATGAAAATAGTTTTGAATAAGGGAAAGTATTGAGTGTACTTTGGGCAGCTCTATAGGTTTCAGAGAAGTGAGGTCGTGGACAAGATGAAAACTGCTTCCCTCCAAAAGTGTTTGCCTTAGGGAGTTAGTGACTAACACCCTTAGGTCCTTGTGTTGTGTTCATGATACTCAGGTATATACTATTAGAATACTTTTCAAAGTGATTGCTTTATCAAATCCCATTTTTCAAGATAGTTATGTGGTACAAGTAATCTAATCCAATTTGCTATAGAATTCCAAAAGTTTCAAAGTAATCCTTCTCAAATAAATCCATTTGTTGATTCAGGTCATACCTAATTTGCCTTAGTAGTGAATAAAGTAACTGCCACTTAAAATACATTTTTTTTCAAGAATGCTTTATCAGTGAGAAACTCTGAAACTCATTTTAAGAAACTCTTATTTAAGTAAACTAGAGGCCAGGTGCATGAATTCATGCATGGGTGGGGTCCCTCAGGGTGGCCTGCTGGGATTGAGCCCCAGCCCATGCCCCCAGGCTCGCATTCCCAGCCTCGCAGCCCTGCAGCTCCCCTTGGCACCCTGCCTTGGCCTGGTGCCGCCCCCTCACCTGCTCCACCATCCCACCTGCAGAGGGATCAATTGGGGCCGGGCCTCCTGCCCAGCTCCCTCAGCCGCTGGTAGCTGTCTGTGGGGTGATTGGCGGGATGATCAGGACCCCGCCTCACACACGCCTTGGCCTGGTACCACCTGCTCACCTCCACTGCCCCCTGCTGCCAGCGCCGTGTCACCAACCCCCGCCATGTTTTGTGCCACCCCCTGGAGGTCAGCGCACATCATAGTGCCT